ATTACCGCTGTGAGGTCACAGGTCTGAAGTCAGCCTATCAACACGTCCTGAAGGTTGTTAACGGCGACCAACCGCACGCTGACGTCTACCAGCAAGGTACTGACTCACACCACAGACTCATTGGCCATATATGGAAATATACATTATACTGACAATACTGCTGTCAGCCTTTATTTATTTAATCATATTTAAATTCAAAACTGTACAATGAACCCAAACAGTGAACTCAGTAACTGTGAGGTCTTGTTTCATAAAACCAGAGATTTGGATGAATTTTGATTTTATTTCCTGTTTAGGGAACTTTTTATATGATTCTCTGTGTTGTTTTTTATCTTACAGACCTAATATTCTTCTTTTCTGACAGATTCAGTGTTTTATTCTCCCTGATGCTCGGCCATTGTTCTATTAGACAATTTACTTTGCTTTTCTTCACAGAAGTGAACCAGATGCTACTGTGTATATATATATTTTTTTTAAACTTATTTTTTATTTAAATTTTCTTTCAACAATTACAGTGTCAGGTTTTACACACTCCACAAAGCAATTATTCACATATCAGTGTCCTTATTGTCCAGTGGTGATGATGGTCTTGCTGTGATCCATAATCTGTCAATTTTTCCCATTTGTCCTGAAATTGTGACTCTTGTAATCGTAGTTTATGTGTAAATTTTCCATTACAAATATTTCTTCCACAGTGCTCACCCACTGCTCCACGGTCAGGGGTTCTGCTTTATATCTTAACCTTGTTATTGCTTTTTTACTTGCTGATAGCAGAACTTTAACAAGATACTCATCCCCTTTTTGTATTATATCTTGTGTCAAATTTCCCAAATAAACTATCTTACAAGACTTGGGTATCTCGTATCCTATTATTTTTCTTAAACCCCGCCATATTTTATCCCAACATCCTGTTATCTTTTGACAAGATATACATATATATATATATATGCATATGGGCTACATCCATGTGTCCACATAGTCTCCAGCATGGTTGCTGGTTACATACAGTTTCCTTCCTAATGTTTGGAGTTATAAAAAATATGACCATAGTTATGACCATATTTTTTATCAATTGAAGTCTCTCCAAATCCTGGAGCTAGTGGCCGTGCACTGCGTTTTACAAATATTAAACCATTCCTCCTCAGTTATGTGCTCCTTCAACTCTTTTTCCCATTTTTCTGTTATATAAAGGGAGGAAGTCTTCTTGCATGCCAACAAACCTCTGTATAGGGTTTGGACTACTTTACATTTTTTTCCTTCATAGGCTTTCAAAAACACATCAATTACTTCATTGTCAGTGTCAGTTTTTATCTCCTTCTCATAATAATCCCTTATTTGTCGGTATCGATATTGTTCATGTTCATCTAGTCCAGATTTATCCCCTAACTTTTCAAAACTCTGCAGCTTCCCCTGCTCGACCATGGTACGTATCGCTGTAATGCCTTTTTTCATCCATTGCTTAAACCCTTTATCAATCATACGAGGTACAAACTTCGATTCAGATGCAAACCAACTCAAGATCTTCGTCTCTTTCTCCAATTTATGTCTTTCAACAACCTTGTTCCATATTTCCACTGTAGTTTTGGTTATTGAATCCAATTGGTTACCTAACTTGCGCAATAGTCCTTTGTGTGCTATTAAGTTTCGTATTTCAATCTCTTTTTGCCCTAATTCTATACTTTTCCATCTTGCAACATACTCATCCTTGCACCAATATATCAGAGGTCTTATTTGTGCAGCATAAAAATATTCCCTAAGGGTTGGTAAGTCCTTAGGGAATATTGGGAGCTGCAGAGTTTTATATCCGATCCTGGGTTTCTTTCCTCCCCATATAAACCTCGATATCCACCTATCCCATTCAATGAATTGTTTTTGTGGGATCATCACTGGCAGTGATTGGAACAGATATAAAAGCCTTGGTAAAATATTTATCCTAATTATCTCTATCCTTGAGCTGAAATCAAAACTAATTATTGACCATCCCTCCAAGTCCCTCCTAATTTCTCGATTTATTTTTGTGTAACTGTGTATATTTTTTAAGTTTTCTAGCACACCTTAAAATCAAGATGGCCTTGTGACCCCCTCATGAAGCTTTACTGACCCCTAGTGGTTGGGAACCAGTGGCCTATGCTACCACTTATACTTAGAATACTGTAGTTTATATTTTAGCATCATATCTATTCAGATAGTTGCCTTCAATTATCTGATCGGTCTGAAATGGAAACTGATGATGAACTACAGCTCGTAGTGTTCACAGGCACTGAGTCATAACTATACTGTTAGCATATTCTATTTTATTTATTTTTGTACAGTGAGAAGACACGTTGTCCATCTTTATATACAGTCTATGCTACCACCTATGATCAGAATACTGTAGTTTGATCTTCTGGCGTCCCTCAGGGCTCAGATTCAGATCTTCAAGTTTTTTCTTGTTTGTGGTCAGATTTTCTCCTCCAATATGCAGACGACTCATTTACATTTACACCTTCAGTAATAATAAAAAGTTGTGAGGATTTATTCTGTTGAAATGTCTCTAATTTAGTCAATCCAAGGCTTAGAGTTTTCTTTTGTCTCAGTGCTGGCTTTCGTCCGGACTCGCTGTCGCTACAAAACCCCCAGAATCCTCCTGTTGGGTCCACCGGGGGCGGGGAAGAGTCATCAGGCCAGACTGCTGTCAGAGAAATACAAGATAGTGGACGGTAAATGCAAACCCTGATTCTAAAGGTTAAACCGTTATTTCCTCATATCTTGAGTTAATAGATAATGTCTGTCTGTCTGTCTGTGTCTGTCTGTCTGTCTCTCAGTGTGTTGTGGTCAGCTGTTGAGGTCTGTAGCAGGTGATGGTTCAGCTCTGGGAAAAGAGGTCCAACCCTACCTGGATGATGGGAGGCCAGGTAACCACTGTTACTGATATTGCAGCTTATTACTGATTATTTATTATTGATCATGAACCTGTGGATACAGTTCCAGACTCCCTGGTGCTGCAGGTTCTGGAGGAACGTCTGAGCCGACTGGACTGCAGCTGCAGAGGCTGGATCCTCCATGGCTTCCCCTGCGATGTGCAACAAGCCAGGAGCCTGCAGGGGTCCCAGCACAAGCCCAACAAGTACTGCACACTACTACTGCTACTACTGCTACTGCTATTATTATTACTATTACTACTATTATTATTACTACTACTGCTATTAATACTACGTCTACTACTATTATTATTATTACTACTGCTACTGATACTAAATCTTACTGTCAGTTGTAGCACGCAGGGAGCCAGTGAGGTGGAAATGTGTGTGAGTGCAGATGAATATTTGATGCTGCAGTATAAATATGGACTCTAATGGTTCTGTTGCTCACATTAACAGCTTTAAACATAAATAGTCTTTAAATATTCAGGATGCTCTCAGTTAAACAGGCTATTAATGATGCTGTTCACTGACAAGGTGACGACCTCTGTGTGACCTCTGCTCTCTCCTCTCAGGGTCTTCCTCCTGGAGTTGACTGATGATGTTTGTCTGGAGAGAATCACTCTGAGAGCTACAGATCCAGTCACTGGGGAGAGGTCGGTAACAAACCCTCCGTTAGTTAGTATCATGGATCACGTTAGCTGGGGAAGCTAACGTTAGCCACTTACATAAATGTCAAACCATCTGGATGAAGCTAACTGACAGTATTAACGAGTAATTCCTCTGTTTTAGCAAGCAAGCTAACGCTATCCAGCTAACAGCACAATCAGACAATATGTTCCACTAGCTTAGCATTAATGTTAGCTTTGACTTTGGACTCTGTGTTGTGGACTCTGTGTTGGACTCTGTGTTGGACTCTGTGTTGTGGACTCTGTGTTGTGGACTCTGTGTTGGACTCTGTGTTGGACTCTGTGTTGTGGACTCTGTGTTGGACTCTGTGTTGGACTCTGTGTTGTGTACTCTGTGTTGGACTCTGTGTTGGACTCTGTGTTGTGGACTCTGTGTTGTGGACTCTGTGTTGGACTCTGTGTTGTGTACTCTGTGTTGTGGACTCTGTGTTGGACTCTGTGTTGGACTCTGTGTTGTGGACTCTGTGTTGTGGACTCTGTGTTGTGGACTCTGTGTTGGACTCTGTGTTGTGGACTCTGTGGTGGACTCTGTGTTGTGGACTCTGTGTTGGACTCTGTGTTGTGGACTCTGTGTTGTGGACTCTGTGTTGGACTCTGTGTTGGACTCTGTGTTGTGGACTCTGTGTTGTGGACTCTGTGTTGTGGACTCTGTGTTGGACTCTGTGTTGTGGACTCTGTGGTGGACTCTGTGTTGTGGACTCTGTGGTGGACTCTGTGTTGGACTCTGTGTTGGACTCTGTGTTGTGGACTCTGTGTTGTGGACTCTGTGTTGGACTCTGTGTTGTGGACTCTGTGTTGTGGACTCTGTGTTGGACTCTGTGTTGTGGACTCTGTGTTGTGGACTCTGTGTTGGACTCTGTGTTGTGGACTCTGTGTTGGACTCTGTGTTGTGGACTCTGTGTTGGACTCTGTGTTGGACTCTGTGTTGTGGACTCTGTGTTGTGGACTCTGTGTTGGACTCTGTGTTGTGGACTCTGTGTTGGACTCTGTGTTGCCCACTGTTGGCACTCGGGAGCATAAAGGTCACAACCTTTGACCCTCATCCTACATAGAGACACATGAGATCAGTCCACAGACAGCAGAGGAACAAAGCTACACTACAACCTGGGGCCCGTTGCACAAAAGTTGGATAAGGGATTAAGCCGGGATATCTTGGTTATCCTGGCTCAATTTATCCGCAATCCGGTTGCACAAAAGCGGGATAGGGGGCAGTAGGACATGTTATGGTATAAGTTACCATGGAGATTTATTCTGTGGAGCTAGCCTGCTCCAGACCAGAGGGGTATTGCATAAAACCAGGATAAGGGATTAAGCCGGGATATGTTGGTTATCCTGGATGAATTTAGCCTCAAGTCGGTTGCATGAAAGCAGGTTAAACTTATCCCGGCCAAGTTACTATGGTGATTTATTCTCTGCAGTTAGCCTGCTCCAGACCAGGCTAACAGCCAGGCTGACAGCCAGGCTAACAGCCAGGCTGACAGCCAGGCTAACAGCCAGGCTGACAGCCAGGCTAACAGCCAGGCTGACAGCCAGGCTAACAGCCAGGCTGACAGCCAGGCTAACAGCCAGGCTGACAGCCAGGCTAACAGCCAGGCTGACAGCCAGGCTGACAGCCAGGCTGACAGCCAGGCTGCAGCCAGGCTAACAGCCAGGCTGACAGCCAGGCTAACAGCCAGGCTGACAGCCAGGCTAACAGCCAGGCTGACAGCCAGGCTAACAGCCAGGCTGACAGCCAGGCTAACAGCCAGGCTGACAGCCAGGCTAACAGCCAGGCTAACAGCCAGGCTAACAGCCAGGCTAACAGCCAGGCTAACAGCCAGGCTAACAGCCAGGCTAACAGCCAGGCTAACAGCCAGGCTAAGATTAATCCTAGTGATTCACCTGTATTTCCACCGTCAATCCTGTGAGGAATTAATGTGTTTTACTGCATGTCCATGGTCTTTCTAAGTATGTTGCATCATTTTAATTATTCTGCATTAAAATATTACATATATATTGTCATTTCTTATTTCATTTAAATCTGTTGGCTGTTTGTAATTGCAACAGTCTTTTTATATTGATTCAAGTGGTAGTATTATTACTCAGGACAAGTGTTATATTGCTATGCTAATGAAGACTGCTTGTCAAACTGCATAAATATGTGTTATTGCAGTAATTGAGATTACAAAACACAGCTGATGAAGTTGCAAAGGTGTTTTCAATGAAATCTGTGACAAGGGCAATATAGTATATATATTATGGCATACCGTTTAAGAGATTAATCTTTGAATATATAAAATTAATCTTTGAATATATGGAATGAAACTTGACTGGTCATCAAGGCACTGCTGCCATCTTGTAGAAGTGAGAATGAGTCAGTCAGGAACGTTGTGGCAGCAATACTGAGCAATGAGGACATTATTAACTCATTGGTAAGTGCTTGTACGGGCCAAAATCCTTCTCGATAGTACCCGTGCCCAATACCGTTCTCCTGACGAAGAAGTTCTTTTTAATGGTGGCAGGCCGACTACAACAGGCCTCAGGCTAAATCCTGAAAGTTTTCCAGTTTAAGAAAGTATTGTAATATTTCAACTGATGCCATTTTGTAAAACCAGCTAATTCAGAAGGCTATCACTTTGATGAAAAGGATACAACTAGGTTTTCAATTTCATTCAGTATTATCACATTTTTATCAGTATATCCAAGATTCATTCCATATGTCCAAAGATTCATTTCCTAAACGGCATGCCATAATATATATATATATATATATATATATATATATATTATTCACAGCTGTTCCCTCTTCATAATGGCTTGCCCTTTCTTGGAGGATGTACTGGATGAGGAAGCCCTAATCCTCAGATGTGCATTTAGTCATGAAAGAGTCTTCTGGGACAGGTCAGACCCATTGGCCGTTGGAGAGGACTATCTCATTGAGAGATACAGATTCTCAGGTGATGGACTAAGATATTTATGTAGGCTAATCTATTCACCTCATTTGTTCACTGTTATCTACTTTATAGTCACTTTCCAGCCTGCAAAATGTTCTTGTATTTAACTTTAACTTTTCTAATGTAACTTGCTTCCAGGTCCTTTTATGGCCAGACAAGTTTGTTCTTTATGAAGGATAGAAAGATAAAATAGATAAAAATAGATTAAATGACACACATTGTGGATAATTGTTTGCACTTAATCATACTCTACATTTAAGTAACATGAACCTCTACTTTCCACATTTAAAGCAAAGTGTACAACAGTTGATTAGTGGACTTACAGTAACTCCTTTAGTCCTTTAATTGGAGCCTAATGATGACAGTTCCAGTGGAGCACTGTTTATTCATTGTACAGTTTTGGACTACTTAAGCATTAAGCCGGTCCGCTATTGTCTGCCAGGCTTTCTCTCTTTCTTTAATTATGGCATTGGTATTGCCTTTGTTTCTTCTATCTTCCACCTCTTCATAGAACTCCATCAGGAGCTGTTGTTCAGCGACTCTTATCCATGTTCCCATCGGTGATTCTGTGAGCGATCGCGAGGTCTATTTCAGTATGCCGTGAACCCGCACTTATCCCGACTATCTACACCTGGCTTAACATAGCCGCACCTTTTCATCCTGGCTCGGCAAACGTGCAACCGATTAAACCAGGATGCACCGAGCAGGCTAAGTCAAACTGCGCTTGTTCAATTATCCTGGATTTCTTTATTCTACTTTTGTGCAACGGGCCCCTGTTCACTCACTGCTCACACACACTGACTCACACACACACACACTGACTCACACACACTGACTCACACACACTCACACACACACACACACACACACACACACACTGACTCACACACACTGACACACACTGACTCACACACACTCACTCACACTGACTCACACACACTGACTCACACACACTGACTCACACACACACACTGACTCACACACACTGACACACACACTGACTCACACACACTGACTCACACACACTGACTCACACACACACACACTGACTCACACACACTGACACACACTGACTCACACTGACTCACACACACTGACTCACACACACTGACACACACTGACTCACACACACTGACTCACACTGACTCACACACACTGACTCACACTGACTCACACACACACACACACTGACACACACTGACTCACACACACACTGACTCACACACACACACACACACACTGACTCACACACACTGACTCACACACACACACTGACTCACACACACTGACACACACTGACTCACACACACTGACACACACTGACTCACACACACTGACTCACACACACACTGACTCACACACACTGACTCACACACACTGACTCACACACTGACTCACACACACACACACACACACACACTGACTCACACACACTGACTCACACACACTGACTCACACACACACACACACTGACTCACACAAGTAATTGTAATGGATTAGAAAGAACAGTTTCAATACAAACATCATGCAGCACAGAACACATGACTCACCTGAACAGGTAACAGCATCTGTATTTCCTGCAGGTTCCACGCCGTGACTCGACCGGCTCCGAGCGCCGAGGTCCAAAACAGACTGAGGACCAGACCCGAGGACAACACACACACTGTAACACACACACTGAGTCGGTACAGGATGCACACTGCAGCCCTGCAGGTACTCACACACACACACACACACACACACACACACACACACACACACACACACACACACACACACACACACACACATCCGCTGCTGAAAGTAGTCCCAGACAAATACAGATTCTCCTCCTGAGTAACATCCTCTACACTCTGTGTGTGTGTGTGTGTGTGTGTGTGTGTGTGTGTGTGTGTGTGTGTGTGTGTGTGTGTGTGTGTGCAGTCTGTGTATCCAGGTGCAGTTCATATTGATGCTGATCAGGATCCTCACTCTGTGTTTGAGGCTCTGGAGAGCAGACTGACAGCTGAGTAATAGAAGGACCCACCTGGACCCACTTGGACCCACCTGGACCCACCTGGACCCACCTGGACCCACCTGGACCCAGGTTGGAGAGACAGGAAGTGGACTAACTGCTAAACTCATTGTATTAAATGTTCTTAGTTTGTTTTAAAAGTAATTCAATGTTTCTGTTTTTTCTTCATCAATTTTATTTGTTCTTAATCAATAACATTGATGATCAGGAGGAGACGGCTCATACAGTGACAGAAGTGTATTAACCTGTATTATATGTGACTGCTGCTGTTAGCTAACGCTAGCTAACGCTACTTGTTGATCACAGTTTATGAAGGTGTCTGAACACACCTGTTATTAGTGCTGAGCATCATTAACCTGACATCCCATAATCCCCAGCTCCACCCACCTGTGTGGCTGAGCGTCCCCTGGGCAACACGTCTCCACCTGAGAGTGTGTGTTTGTTTTCATCACCTGGTCGGTTCACAGTTCAGACCTCTGTGTGTGTGTGTGTGTGTGTGTGTGTGTGTGTGTGTGTGTGTGTGTGTGTGTGTGTTACAGTGTATGTGTGTGTGTGTGTGTGTGTGTGTGTGTGTGTGTGTTACAGTGTATGTGTGTGTGTGTGTGTTACAGTGTGTGTGTGTGTGTGTGTGTTACCGTGTATGTGTGTGTGTGTGTGTGCGTGTGTGTGTTAGTGTGTTGTGTGTGTGTGTGTGTGTGTGTGTGTGTAACAGTGTGTGTGTGTGTGTGTGTGTGTGTGTGTTACAGTGTGTGTGTGTGTGTGTGTGTGTGTGTGTGTGTGTGTGTGTGTGTGTGTTACAGTGTGTGTGTGTGTTACAGTGTGTGTGTGTGTGTGTGTGTGTGTGTGTGTGTGTGTGTGTGTGTGTATGTGTGTTGTGTGTGTGTGTGTGTGTGTGTGTGTGTGTGTGTTACAGTGTATGTGTGTGTGTGTGTGTGTGTGTGTGTGTGTGTGTGTGTGTTGTGTGTGTGTGTGTGTGTGTGTGTGTGTGTGTGTGTGTGTGTGTGTGTGTGTGTGTGTAACAGTGTGTGTGTGTGTGTGTGTTACAGTGTATGTGTGTGTGTGTGTGTGTGTGTGTGTGTGTGTGTGTGTGTGTGTGTGTGTGTGTGTTACAGTGTGTGTGTGTGTGTGTGTGTGTGTGTGAATGTCGCCTCAGGCAGATTTTCTTTACAACTGTTTTTTTTTCAGAGTTCAGATTTTTTAGATGTCAGTTCATCACATTTATTATTATTTTTGTATTATTTTATTTTTCACTCCTGTGCACTACCGAGGTGCCCTTGTGCAAGTTACTAACCCCAACTGCTCACTGCTCCATCACTCCACCTTTACATGTCTATAAGAATTTACCCAGTATATACGTATATTCTTCTTCTTTGACTTTAGACTCTGTTGAGGACTAGGGTTGAGGACTGGGGTTGAGGGGTTAGGGTTGAGGACTAGGGTTGAGGACTGGGGTTGAGGGGTTAGGGTTGAGGACTAGGGTTGAGGACTGGGGTTGAGGGGTTAGGGTTGAGGACTAGGGTTGAGGACTAGGGTTGAGGACTAGGGTTGAGGGGTTAGGGTTGAGGACTAGGGTTGAGGACTAGGGTTGAGGACTAGGGTTGAGGGGTTAGGGTTGAGGACTAGGGTTGAGGACTAGGGTTGAGGGGTTAGGGTTGAGGACTAGGGTTGAGGACTAGGGTTGAGGACTAGGGTTGAGGGGTTAGGGTTGAGGACTAGGGTTGAGGACTAGGTTAGGTTGAGGGGTTAGGGTTGAGGACTAGGGTTGAGGACTAGGTTTGAGGACTAGGGTTGAGGACTAGGGTTGAGGGGTTAGGGTTTGTGTCATATGGAGTACTCTGTCAGTGATATTTGTACTTTTACTTCAGTAATCTGAATACTTCGTCTATCATTGAGCGTTAGTACTGAAAACTACCAAAATAAAAGCTGTAATAAGGATTATCCTTTAACTCCGAGTCTGAAGCCGAGGATGCGTCAGGAGACAGACAGACAGGCAGTGAGACAGACAGCAGTATGTTGAGTATTTGTATGAATATTATTATTAATGAGAGTAGTGTGAGTGACAGCAGCAGCAGCTCCTCTGATCTAAAAGCAGTTCTTATCTCAGTTTACTTCAAACCTTCATGTTAAAATATCTCCGTTTACTTCAGAACTTCCTCCTGCGGCCGCTGTGATTGAAAGCTCGTTTTTCAGCTCTCAGCTCAATCACACCGACTCTGTGCCGACGTTTCAAAGTGCTGATTTTGGTAAATGACTATAATTAATCCTCCTGAGCGCCGGTTCGAGTCCCAGCGGTGCCGGACTCGCCGTGTGATTGACAGCTCTATTTTTAAGCCTTCCTGTCGACAACAGGAAGCGGAGCGGGAAGGAAATGGGACGTGACGGCTGCTGATGTGATGATGGACGGTTTGTCCCCGTCTCCTGCGGAGACTGAAACCCTCTGTTTGTCCTGCCAGGAGCCTCTGAGCAAGGCACCGAACCACAACAGGAGCCTGAGAGGGACTTCTAGAAACAGACTTACTCTCTAAAAAGTACTTCAGGAATTCCTTTTAGTACTTAGATAAACATCTAATTAATTAATTTAGATAAAGTGTTTAAGTTACAAACATTTCGATGAGTTGTGTTGACATAAATAAACTAGTTGAAACTATTTAATTTACACAGTAATAAGTTATTTTAATTTAAATAATTGTTGAAATGGATCATTTTGAACATTTTAAATGACACAGACTCAATTTAAGTTAAACAGATTCCTGATGAAGCAGCTTTTATTTCTCATTTTAAGTGACACTAACTTCAGTTATAGAAACATTATTACTTACATAAGTAATATTTACTGGGTATTTTCTTTTCACAGTACAAACACAAATTACTAAAAACTACTTCATCAACATTGTCAGAAATATACAAAAATACTAACTTTATTTTGTTTTACTTAAAGTTCATGTTTCCTAATCAACCAAAAAAAATAGTTTTTATGTTACCAATTATTAATTAAGTGGTAATTAAAAATACCTTTATTGTAGAGAGTTATTCCCTGAACTCAGTAAAGTGTAGTTAGTTGAACATCATTTCATTTGTTGTCATGACTCAAAACAATTGATGGAAACTGTTTTTTTAATTTTGGTGGTGAACCAAACCATTTGTTTTTAGAGTTTGGATCAGTTCTGGTTTCAGACTGATCGCCATGTTTCTACAGTATTTTACAGTAAATCCATTTTAAACCACATTAATTAACACGAGCTGCTGTTAAAGGTTTTCAGACTTTACTTTCACTGTACATTGAATTAAAGTAAATTGTGTTCAAACAACAATAATCTATAAATTGTACAAATAAATGTCATTATTTTGTGTTTGGTTCAGTTTGAAATGTTACTGTGAATTAAACACAGATTCACCGTTAGTTGCTGATTTTTTACAGTGTATATTTGAGTAGTTTATACACACACACACACACACACACACACACACACACACTGAATGTGGGAGGAAGAAAGATCTGTTTTATTTCTGTTTTCATGTTTCTGTTTATTTGTTATATTTTAGTCCTTTTTTCTTTTTTTCTGAGGAAATTATTCCTCCTGTTTCCTCCGATGTGTTTCACTGAAAACACAAAGAAAGAAGAAAAGAGAAAAGGTTTTGTTGCTGCGTCTGATTCTTTAGTCGAAGGTGGAATATTTTCAATGTTTTCATTTTGAGGTAATCAGTAAGTATTCAGATTACATTTGGATTACATGACTAATTACAAACATTGGTATAAATAATCTGATCCCATTAAAGAACTGGACATTTATTAATGAATGAAATAAACCAACAGCACATAATGAAGACATAATAATGTTCAATAATCAGATCTTTTTATTTCTGTCAGTAAAAATGTGACGTAAATATTTAAAGCTTAAATCCAAACTGAACAAACAGAATCCGTCCTTTATTCTCACTGACCCTAAATTATACTTATACTGACTAATCTATGAGCTTTATTTAACATATTAATAATAATAATATACTTTATTATAGAGTTTACAAAGTGCTTTAACAAACTAAGCAGATAGCTGTGATACCCAAAATATGACTAAATATAAAAAGAATGAATTTAAAAACAGGAATAATAATAATAAGAACAGAAGTCATAAAATAAAATAAAATATTGTTTCCCTTTTTATTGATTTGTTTAATAAAACAATGATAAATAAACTGATTACATTTCTACAATAAAATAATATTTACTGTGAATGAGATAAGAAATGAAGCTACTGCGCATGTACACTAAATCAGCTGTGAAGAAGGCGTGGCCTCAGTGACGTAGCAGGAAGCGTTCTCCACGCGGTGCTTCACGGTGAGTCCGTGCACTTTTTATTTTTAGGATATTTTCTGATTTTATTCTGATTTTATTCAAAGTTTACAGTCTGTTAGCATGAGCTGCTGCGCTAACTGAGCCACACACACACACACACACACACACACACACACATATACACACGTGTGTGTGTGTATGTGTGTGTGTGTGTGTGTGTGTGTGTGTGTGTGTGTGTGTGTGTTGTTGTTGGGGGCACTACTTTTTACTCGTTTGTGCTTCGTCACTGAGTTTAAAGTCAGAGCTAACGTTGCTAACATGCTGGCCGTTATCCTGCTGTAGGACACACCGGACTCCGTTCAGAAATGTGTCAATTTAACGTTTCCTTACCTGTGAGAGAGACAAACACAGGTAGAACAACGGGATGAAAGCCTGAACACAGCTGCTGGGGTCACTCTTTAACTCGGCTCTACTGAAATGAATCAAACTGATTAGCTCTTTCTGTTATTGATATGTAATTGCTATCTGATTCTGATTCTGTTATTGTGTATTAGAGAGTAAATCACTGATATAGAGAATAGAGTCCGTTCACACAGGCTCATTCTAACTGTGAGTCACCTGATGTAACACCTGCAGCACTACTTCCTGTGTAATGCTGACAGGTGAGTCTGAAACCCACTGGCTCTAATAACTCTGTCTGTCTGTCTGTCTGTCTGTGGGTCAGGTGTGTTGATGATGTCATCAGCAGAGGACCAGCTGTGTTTGAACATCAGCAGCAGTTTCTCCTCCTCTTCATCGGCTCGGAGGAAGCCAGTGAGTGCTCAGCAGAGATGGGCCAGAGTGAGTGCGGTTCAGTTACTTCAGTTCAAACCGACTGGAACCGGACTGGAACCCGACTGAAACCCGACTGGAACCCGACTGGAACCGGACTGGAACCCGACTGAAACCCGACTGGAACCCGACTGAAACCCGACTGGAACCCGACTGAAACCGGACTGAAACCGGACTGGAACCCGACTGAAACCCGACTGGAACCCGACTGAAACCGGACTGAAACCGGACTGGAACCCGACTGAAACCCGACTGGAACCCGACTGAAACCGGACTGAAACCGGACTGGAACCGGACTGGAACCGGACTGAAACCGGACTGGAACCGGACTGAAACCCGACTGGAACCCGACTGGAACCCGACTTGAACCCGACTGAAACCGGACTGGAACCCGACTTGAACCCGACTGGAACCGGACTGGAACCCGACTGAAACCCGACTGGAACCGGACTGGAACCCGACTGGAACCGGACTGGAACCCGACTTGAACCCGACTGGAACCCGACTGAAACCGGACTGGAACCCGTGAGAGTTTGGACTTTTGGTGTTGATTGATTTGTTCTGTTGGACCTGCAGAAGAAGCAGAGAGCAGAGGAGAGGAAGCTCGGCTCCATAGAGGAGGAGAGGAAGAGGAGCTTCAAACAGAGGAGAGTGCAGCCCAGTGAGGAGGAGGAGGAGGAGGAGGAGGAGGAGGAGGCTCAGGTAAACACTGCTTTCACCTGTCGCACCAATCGATGTATTGATATCATTATTGTAATAATCAATATGTCTCTCCCAGTCGGCAGACAGGAGGACACCACAGAGGAAGAAGGATGGAGGCGCCATCAAGACTTCCTCTCTGTTCAAACACAACCCGGAGATCCCAGAGATCCACAGGTACGCCTCCTCTGATTGGCTGAGCACTTCCTTCATCTACATTCTGATTGGCTCATAACCAGCTGACATCACTGTTCCTCCCCCAGAGCCGCCGTCTCTCAGGTGAAGGAGCAGATCTTCACCACGGACTCCTTCTCAGACCTGGACCTGCACCCTCACCTGGTAACACCTGATCAATACTGTGTGTGTGTGTGTGTGTGTGTGTGTGTGTGTGTGTGTGTGTGTGTGTGTGTGTGTGTGTGTGTGTGTGTGTTACTGTGTGTGTGTGTGTGTGTGTGTGTTACTGTGTGTGTGTGTGTGTGTGTGTGTGTGTTACTGTGTGTGTGTGTGTGTGTGTGTGTGTGTGTGTGTGTGTGTGTGTGTGTGTGTGTGTGTGTGTGTGTGTGTGTGTGTGTGTGTGTGTTACTGTGTGTGTGTGTGTGTGTGTGTTACTGTGTGTGTGTGTGTGTGTGTGTGTGTGTGTGTGTGTGTTACTGTGTGTGTGTGTGTGTGTGTGTGTGTGTGTGTGTGTGTGTTACTGTGTGTGTGTGTGTGTGTGTGTGTGTGTGTGTGTGTGTGTGTTACTGTGTGTGTGTGTGTGTGTGTGTGTTACTGTGTGTGTGTGTGTGTGTGTGTGTGTGTGTTACTGTGTGTGTGTGTGTGTGTGTGTGTGTGTGTGTGTACGATGGTTCTGATCCAGTTGGAGTAATAAAGTTAATCATTGTGTTCCTGTCGGGCCTTCAGCAGGCTGAGTGTTCTGTGTTCTGATTGGCTGGTTTCTGTCCACCAGGTGGCGACACTGAACAAAGTCCTGAATGTTTCCACAGTGACCAGGTGAGTTTACACACTGACTGTAACCATCAGAGTCATTACACACAGACTGCTAGTTAATGTTAGTTAATGTTAGTTAATGCTAGTTAATGCTAGTTAATGCTAGTTCATGTTAGTTAATGTTAGTTAATGCTAGTTAATGTTAGTTCATGTTAGTTAATGCTAGTTAATGCTAGTTAATGCTAGTTAATGCTAGTCCATGCTAGTTCATGTTAGTTAATGCTAGTTCATGTTAGTTAATGCTAGTTAATGCTAGTTAATGCTAGTCCATGCTAGTTCATGTTAGTTAATGCTAGTTAATGTTAGTTAATGCTAGTTAATGCTAGTCCATGCTAGTTCATGTTAGTTAATGCTAGTTCATGTTAGTTAATGCTAGTTAATGCTAGTTAATGCTAGTTCATGTTAGTTCATGTTAGTTCATGTTAGTTAATGCTAGTTAATGCTAGTTAATGCTAGTTAATGTTAGTTCATGTTAGTTCATGTTAGTTAATGCTAGTTAATGCTAGTTAATGTTAGTTCATGTTAGTTAATGCTAGTTAATGCTAGTTAATGCTAGTTAATGCTAGTCCATGCTAGTTCATGCTAGTTAATGCTAGTTAATGTTAGTTCATGTTAGTTCATGTTAGTTAATGCTAGTTAATGCTAGTTAATGCTAGTTAATGTTAGTTAATGCTAGTTAATGCTAGTTAATGTTAGTTAATGCTAGTTCATGTTAGTTAATACTAGTTAATGCTAGTTCATGTTAGTTAATGTTAGTTCATGTTAGTTAATGCTAGTTCATGTTAGTTAATGCTAGTTAATGCTAGTTAATGCTAGTCCATGCTAGTTCATGTTAGTTAATGTTAGTTAATGCTAGGTAATGCTAGTTAATGCTAGTTAATGCTAGTCCATGCTAGTTCATGTTAGTTAATGCTAGTTAATGCTAGTTAATGCTAGTTAATGCTAGTTCATGTTAGTTCATGTTAGTTCATGTTAGTTAATGCTAGTTAATGCTAGTTAATGCTAGTTAATGTTAGTTCATGCTAGTTCATGTTAGTTAATGCTAGTTAATGCTAGTCCATGCTAGTTCATGTTAGTTAATGCTAGTTAATGCTAGTTCATGTTAGTTAATGCTAGTTAATGTTAGTTAATGCTAGTCCATGCTAGTTCATGCTAGTTAATGCTAGTTAATGTTAGTTAATGCTAGTCCATGCTAGTTCATGCTAGTTAATGCTAGTTAATGTTAGTTCATGTTAGTTCATGTTAGTTAATGCTAGTTAATGCTAGTTAATGCTAGTTAATGTTAGTTAATGCTAGTTAATGCTAGTTAATGTTAGTTAATGCTAGTTCATGTTAGTTAATGCTAGTTAATGCTAGTTCATGTTAGTTCATGTTAGTTCATGTTAGTTAATGCTAGTTCATGTTAGTTAATGCTAGTTAATGCTAGTTAATGCTAGTCCATGCTAGTTCATGCTAGTTAATGCTAGTTAATGTTAGTTAATGCTAGTTAATGCTAGTCCATGCTAGTTCATGTTAGTTAATGCTAGTTCATGTTAGTTAATGCTAGTTAATGCTAGTTCATGTTAGTTCATGTTAGTTCATGTTAGTTAATGCTAGTTAATGCTAGTTAATGTTAGTTCATGTTAGTTCATGTTAGTTCATGTTAGTTAATGCTAGTTAATGCTAGTCCATGCTAGTTCATGTTAGTTAATGCTAGTTAATGTTAGTTAATGCTAGTCCATGCTAGTTCATGTTAGTTAATGCTAGTTAATGTTAGTTAATGCTAGTTATTGCTAGTCATGCTAGTTCTTGTTAGTTAATGCTAGTTCATGTTAGTTAATGCTAGTCCATGCTAGTTCATGCTAGTTAATGCTAGTTAATGTTAGTTCATGTTAGTTAATGCTAGTTAATGCTAGTTCATGTTAGTTCATGTTAGTTCATGTTAGTTAATGCTAGTTAATGCTAGTTAATGTTAGTTCATGTTAGTTCATGTTAGTTAATGCTAGTTAATGCTAGTCCATGCTAGTTCATGTTAGTTAATGCTAGTTAATGCTAGTTCATGTTAGTTAATGCTAGTTAATGTTAGTTAATGCTAGTCCATGCTAGTTCATGTTAGTTAATGCTAGTTAATGTTAGTTAATGCTAGTTATTGCTAGTCATGCTAGTTCTTGTTAGTTAATGCTAGTTAATGCTAGTTCATGTTAGTTAATGTTAGTTAATGCTAGGTAATGCTAGTTAATGCTAGTTAATGTTAGTTAATGCTAGTTAATGCTAGTTAATGTTAGTTCATGCTAGTTCATGCTAGTTCATGCTAGTTAATGTTAGTTCATGCTAGTTAATGCTAGTTAATGTTAGTTAATGCTAGTCCATGCTAGTTCATGCTAGTTAATGCTAGTTAATGTTAGTTCATGTTAGTTCATGTTAGTTAATGCTAGGTAATGCTAGTTAATGCTAGTTAATGTTAGTTAATGCTAGTTAATGCTAGTTAATGTTAGTTCATGCTAGTTCATGCTAGTTAATGCTAGTTAATGTTAGTTAATGCTAGTTCATGTTAGTTAATGTTAGTTAATGTTAGTTAATGTTAGTTAATGCTAGTTAATGCTGACTTTAATGTGTGTGTGTTCAGTGTTCAGAAACAGACGATTCCAGTACTTCTGTCGGGACGAGACGCTGTGGTTCGCTCTCAGACGGGATCAGGTAAGAACCAATCCACAGCTGATGGTGATCTCTGTCTCTGATGGTGGACTCTGTCTCTGATGTGGTCTCTGTCTCTGATGGTGGACTGTGTCTCTGATGGTGGACTGTGTCTCTGATGGTGGACTGTGTCTCTGATGGTGGTCTCTGTCTCTGATGGTGGACTCTGTCTCTGATGGTGGTCTCTGTCTCTGATGGTGGACTCTGTCTCTGATGGTGGACTGTGTCTCTGATGGTGGACTCTGTCTCTGATGTGGTCTCTGTCTCTGATGTGGTCTCTGTCTCTGATGGTGGTCTCTGTCTCTGTAGGTAAGACCCTGTCTTACGCCATCCCTGTGGTCCAGAGTCTTCAGGCGGTTCAGCAGAAGGTCAGCAGGTCTGATGGTCCTCTGGCTGTCGTCATCGTCCCCACCAGAGAGGTTCAGTATCAATAAATACCTGTGTTTATATCGTAGAACTGTTCCATTATTGATTAGTTCTGATCAGTTGTTCAGTCCATAAAAAGGTCCAAAGAGATTTATTCAGTGTGTTTTTAGAAAATGATTAAACTTCCAGGAGGAGAAACAGGCCGAACCCATACAGATTATTTATTCTAATTATATTATTCATTTATTCTAATTATATTTTTTATTTTAGCACAACAGACCTAAAGTCCGGGTTAGAGCCCAAAACTGCTGCAGTAGGTCGGTTTCTGGTCGGTCTCGGACAGAATAAGACTTAATGCAGGAAACTGTAATTAATGAGTGAATTTATTATTTATTGTTTTTTTAAATCAAAATAAGTTTAAATGTTTTTATTGGAGATTGTAAAGAGTTTGACCTGTTTACCTACTCTCCTTCTGTCTGTCTGCCTGCCTGTCTGTCTCTCTGTCTGTCTGTCTCTCTGTCTGTCTGTCTGTCTGTCAGCTGGCCCAGCAGACGTTTCAGACCTTCCAGAAGCTCCTGAAGGTAACACAAATTTAATATCAAACTCAGTCCATCATATTTATCTATTATTTTATTATCTCAGGTAACTGAAAACTATATTTATTGACTCCTAATAACTCATCCAACGATTTTATCTTTTATATTATATTATATATTATATTATTATATTATAAAGTACAAAGTAGAGATATTATCTGATACTCACTGAGTTTGTTTGTATATTCAGTGATTATCATCATAAAGTGTGACTGTAGTTTCTAACAGATAAACGTTATAACATGTTGTTGAGTTAAAACAGAAGAGGACCAAGAGTCGAGCCTTGAGGAACTTGACTTTTATTGTGAAACAGCTGCAGGAAGTGACTCAGGTGTTTTCTCTCTCTCTGCAGCCGTTTACCTGGATCGTCCCAGGTGTGCTGATGGGAGGAGAGAAGAGGAAAGCAGAGAAGGCCAGGTATTAATCCCTGCTCCTCCTCCTCCTCCAGTCCTCCTCCTCCTCCTCAGTCCTCTTCCTCCTCCTCCTCCAGTCCTCCTCCTCTTCTTCCTCCAGTCCTCCTCCTCCAGTCCTCCTCCAGTCCTCCTCATCCAGTCCTTCAGTCCTCCTCCTCTTCCTCCAGTCCTCCTCCTCCTCCTCCTCCAGTCCTCCTCCTCATCCAGTCCTGTTCTTCCTCCAGTCCTCCTCCAGTCCTCCTCCTCCTCCTCCAGTCCTCCTCTTCCAGTCCTCCTCTTCCAGTCCTCCTCCTCCTCCTGCTCCTCCAGTCCTCCTCTTCCAGTCCTCCTCCTCCTCCTGCTCCTCCTGCTGACTGCTCCCTCTCTCCTCAGGCTTCGTAAAGGCATTAACATCCTGGTATCGACTCCGGGCCGTCTGGTGGATCACATCAGGAACACTCTGAGTATCGCCTTCAGTGGCGTCCGCTGGCTGATTCTGGACGAGGCCGACCGGTAACGCCAACGTCTTCACGGCTGAGTTCAGTGTTTTCTCTCAGTTTGGTGTAAATGTAGAAATAATGTGTGTGTGTGTGTGTGTGTGTGTGTGTGTGTGTGTGTGTGTGTGTGTGTGTTCAGGACGTTGGACCTGGGCTTCGAGAAGGATCTGACCGTCATATTAAACAGTCTGAACTCGACGGGTCCGAGCAGACAGAACGTGTTGCTGTCGGCGACGCTCACTCACGGTAAACTCTCTCGCCGTCCGTCAGTGTCTCATCTCAAACTCTGTTCAACCAGTAACACCAGTGAACGTCCCGCTGGGTTTCAGGTGTGACCCGGTTAGCAGATGTTTGTCTCAACGACCCAGTCAGCATCCACGTGTCTGGCCCCGCCTCCTCTGACCTCACCAGCAGCTCCGCTGTGACCTCTGACCCCGGCGCAGCCAGCCAGTTGGAGAGCTTCACTGTGCCAGAGGCTCTGAAGCAGTTTGTGGTGGTGGTTCCCAGTAAGATCAGACTGGTTTGTCTGGCTGCTTTCATACTGGACAAATGCAAGGTAAAGAATAAATCTCTGTTCTGTAGCGCCCCCATCAGGACAAACTGTATGCTATCTCCACGAATGCTATTTATTAGCTAGATAGGTAACTAGTGTTTTGCAGCAATCTGATTGGTTGACAGCAGATTGTCATGAACTGACGTTGTTGTTGTTGTTGTTGTTCAGTTTTCTCAGAACAACAAACTCATCGTCTTCGTCTCGAGCTGCGAGGCCGTCGAGTTCCTCCACACTCTGTTCACCGCCGTCCTCGCGGGGCCCTCGGCCAATCCTCAGCTCAGCTTCCTGCGTCTCCATGGCAACATGAAGCAGGAGGTAAGATGGCCGCCGGCCGACTGAAGTCAATCCAACGTTTATCTGCTCGTCAGTGTTTGAGTGCGTTTGTTTCCTCCACCAGGAGCGCTCGGAGGTCTTCCAGCAGTTTTCAGTGTCTCCGTCTGGAGTGCTGCTCTGTACGGTCAGTACCTGTTAGCTTCAGCTAGCTGCTAACGCTACATAATGTGTGTTATAGTAACAACTGTATTTACCGTGTGTGTTTCAGGATGTCGCAGCCAGAGGACTCGACCTTCCTCAGGTCACCTGGATCGTTCAGGTACTTCCAGCAGATGTTTCATTATGGCCTTAGGTTTGTTCTGGCTTGTGATTGGACACTGAACAGCCAATCAGAGTGAAGGATTCTGTGTTTGTGTGTTTCCAGTACACTCCTCCGACGGCGGCGACAGAGTACGTTCACCGCGTCGGTCGCACGGCTCGTATCGGAGGAAGAGGAAGCAGCCTCATCTTCCTCACCCCGGCTGAGACCGGCTTCATCAACGAGCTGGCCAATCACAACATCAGGTCTGTTGACTGACAGCCAATCACAGCCAATCTCTGTTCCTGCAGGTCCACCTGGTTCTGACTGTGGGGGGGCGGGTCTTGTTGTGTTTCAGCCTGTCAGACATGAAGCTGCAGGACATCCTGTCCAGTCTGATGCAGGACGACACCTACAGGGGGCGGGGCAAGTACCACAGCAAGGTACGTCCATCCTCACACCTGAGCTCCACAGTCCTCTGAGAGGTGGTTCTGGTTCTTCCTGGTGTCTGCGTGTCCCTCAGGGGGGCTTCAGATACCTTTCACCTTCCAGTTGCCCCTCACAGTATCTCAGTGGGGGAGATATTATGCAGGGCTCCAGACTAACTCTTTGCATTGGTTGCACTGGTGCACCTAACTCTTTTTTTTAGGTGCACCCAAATTTTTCATTGCGTCGCCTTTAACGCCATAAGGTCACCTTTTAATCGCTCTCCATAACTTTCATATAATGTGAATGATTTTTAAACAAGAATAAGGTGTAGAGAAATGCTTGTCTTTATTTGAAGCACAATTATATATAAAAAGAAAAATAAAGTGTTTAAAGTGCTTCACTGAACTGAAATTGAACATTTCAAACTAAAACACTAAGCAAAATAAAACATTTCCAAATAAAAGTTTTGATATGAAACGTTGTTGACCCGCTAACGAATGCACTATTTCCATCCATATTCTGACCGCACTCCTGACAGTACACGCAGTGCATTGCGTTACGTCCTTTGTTGAACCTCAGCCAGGGAACTTGTTTCAGCCAGTCCTGTCTGAAGGAATATATGTTGACCTTTTTAATTTGGGTCTCGGAGCCGGGCTCTATCCCAGACTCGGTTGTCTCCTCCTCTGGTTCCGAGTCTGATGCTGTCGCTGAAGGACCGGGTAGAGAGATATTCTTCTCATTCATAATCTCTTTTAAGGGCAAGATAACATTCCAATCTACTTTGGCTTTTAGTTGTTTCTTCCCAATGATCCAGATAGCTTTCTTTACATTGTGCTATCATTTACTCTGATTACTGTTTGTAGAGCAGTGTTGTTGTGAGGCTGGTCAGAGTGTGTCTGAGAGGGGGCAGTTAGCCTCAGTACCAACTGACATAGAGGACTCTTTTCTGGGCTCAGCTCTTGGGTTTGGAGGGCTTTGGAGTGGAGGGTGTCCCGGGCTGGATTTCAGGTGGTTAAAGAAGTTGAGCATTCTCTTCTGAATGTTAATTATCAGTGGGTATCTGCCTAATTCTGCTC